GGAGGTGCAGAGCCTGGATGTTGCATTTGGTCCCTTGATTGGTAGCCCAAGTTAGCTGCTACTGATGGAGGAGGACCATAACTTCCCTGCTGATTAGGAAAGGGAGAAGGCGATGCAGGTGGAGGGCATAAAACTTCCTTGCTGGGCAGGAAATGATGGCGATGCTTGTAAAACCGCAGGCTGCTTGCTTGGATATCCGGGAAAAGGTTGTTGGAAATTGGGTCTAATCCCTGATAACGATGAATCAGTTGGAGGTTGAGGAGCATTCATACTGGATGGGGGGAAATTTGCATTTTGTGGCGGAGATCCCATTGGCACAGGCAGTGCTTGTGTCTGTGGTCGAAAAGAAGGTGGCGGCACTGATACTTGACTTGCAGGAGGTTGAAATGGTGGCTGCCCCACAGGTGGTGCACGATTAGGGGGTGCTTGGGCAGCTGAAGGAAACGGTGGTGTTGGAAATCGCTGATAAGGCACCCCAGAAGGTGGGACAGATGTTATGGGTGGAGAAGGAACTGATGGATCACTAAAACGAGCGGGCGGGCTAGGTCTAAAATTGCTGCTTTCTGGTCCTGTTGCAGGACCATGTGGTGAAAAAGGTCTCACAGTTGGAGGAGCGGAAGCAAAAGGGGTAAAGGAAGGTCTCATGGGAAAATTTGGACGACCAGGGTTTTCAGTCCCCATTCTTATCAGTAATATGACTACGTTTGTTATTAATAGACACTCTCACAACTCTGCCTGCCAGGAGATGGAATATCACAATAGTGAGCTTTCACAAAAGAAAATAATGAAAGACCAGTAAATTTCAACTGAATCACCCAGAAAATGGCAAAAAATTTTCAGACATCACCAATGATTGTTATCAAGAATCAAGCAGCAGCCATAAACACCTAGAAAAACTAAATATTTCAAATTCACTTTTTTATTAAACATTCACATACTCATTAATTCCATGCATCCAACAAAAAGCAGGAAAAACAGTACAATGGCCTCCACGAGTCTACAGCAAAATTTAAGAATACCGCTGATTCAACCTGCACTCCTTTTGGCCACACACAACCCCCAAAAAAGATTAAAAAAAGTCAAATCCTTGAGTCTAAGGCAAATCTTAAAAAAGCATAATCCCAGTTCATAAATTAACTTCCAAATAGAAAATACCTAAAAAAAAATATTTAAAGATCACATATAACATAATTGAACCCGAAAAGCGTTTGGTTTCTTTATTTCATCAAAATTTTGTTCAGTTTTAAGCATTCAATATTTGCATCATAACAGTAATACACAGTTTAACAATATCAAATTCAATTCAATTCCTACTATCCCACAAAATCCAGCTCCTTTAATCCAATATGCTAATCCAAATTCAAACAAAAAACAGTTGAGATTCAATTTACAATCATCCCTAACTGAATTTCAATCAACTAATCCAAATTATAATTTCCTTTACACAAAATTAGCTTTAGCTTTGACTAAAAAATATTCTTTCCCAAAGCAATAAAAAGCTACAAAAATAAGACTAACCGGCGTCGCTTTCAGAGGCGTACACCTTCAGTGGCAGGCCATTGAAGATCTACACGATGATTTTCAAGAAACTGCGGATCAAAATTAAACCGAGGGGGTCGTAAAGGTATTTGTGGAAGGCGAGATCTAAAGAGAGAAGAGAAGCTGCTTTAGAAATTGCAGATCGGGGAGAGAAATTAAGTTAATAAATACTTGTTCGATATGTAATATTGTAAAGGGATAAAAATATAGATGCCCCAACACTATTTAATATAATACAGACAGTAAATTTACGTCGTTTTTATCCTTTGGCCTTGTTTTCATGAAGTCGTTTTGGGCAAGCTGGGTTTTTTAGAGTAAACTACATGAACGGTCACTTATCTTTGTGGTTTATTTTATTTTTCTCATAAATTTTTAAAAAATAATATTCCGGTCACTATATATATTTTCGGGGTAAAACATTTTTATCATGGGTCGTAAACTCACGTTACCTCGTTCACAGAAATCTGACTCAACACTTTAAAAAAAAATCTACATAATATCCAATTATAATACGTAGATTTAAAATAAATGTTGATCGGTCATTATTTTTAAAAAACATCATTTATTTACTCAATGTTGATCGGTCATTATTTTTTAAAAACATCATTTATTTACTCATTTAATTCAATAAAATACGGATAGTTTTAGTAACGTAGATTTAATAAATAATACGGATAGCTTTTTTATGTTCATCGATTCTGATTTATATTTTATCGGTGGTCATTCAATAGTTTGATATTCGTTTGTAGTTTATTTGTCGGTACATATATATTTGTTTTTATTCGAGTTTATTTATTTAGATTTTTAATATTTTCCTTATATAATTCTTATGTGATCGTAAGTAACTAATTTTTTATGTTAATGATTATAGAAAAACATTTTTATTATTTGTTTGAGTTTAAAATTGTGGTTATAAATTCTTATTGTAATTTAAATAGTTTTCTATTTTTTAATAAAACTAAAGAATTTTATCTGGTAAAAAAATGTTTGTTTACGTTAGGATTCCTAAATGAATTTTTCTTTTCGTTTGTTTTAATGGAATGTCTCATATACGACATCTTTAATATACAGTTAAGGAAAGATATTTTCGGAAATGCTATTTTTTTTAACATATCTAGTAAAACGATACCTAAAATATTATTTTTTCTACCGAAAATGTTAATATTAGACGCTATCTAAAATATTTAACATTTCCGATAAAGCGCTACCTAAAACATTATCTTTTCTACCAGAAATGTTAATATTGGGTTCTACCGAAAATTAGTTAGCGAAATTAACATTTCCGATAACATCTTTCCTTAACCTTATATTAAAGTTGTCGTACAACAGAACTACACATTTTAATGGGTTCCGAAATTGGTTTTTTTTCTTCTATCGGTCACCATCAATTTTTTACTATTGATTTTTATTTTTTAAATGTGATATGATTTTATATTGTTATGATCTTAATTTATTTTTTTCTTGTCGTGGTCTCACTGATTGATTATTGAAGTTGAATATTTTTTTTGTATTACTTTTATTTGTTTACTATTATTTTAAACCGCCATCTCTGTTCATTCTCAACCTAACGAACATCATTTTCAAGTCGATCATCAACTTTATACTCAATGCATCGATCATTGCATTATTTTTACCCCAATACAATCATAGTCTTTAAGCAATTTTAATCCACCTATGATACCTTAAATTCAACTTTCTTTGCGTGAACAAGTGTTTGAGAATCGTGTGATTAATATAGATGTATAACTTCTTCCCATAAAGGTACTCCCTCCAATTCTTCGATGCGAAGACCACTATCGTCAACTCTAAATTATGAGTAGCATAATTTTACTCATACAACTTAAATTACCTCGAAGCATAAACTAATATCTTATCCTCTCATATGAGAACATGTCTGAATCCACTAAAAATTGCGTCGCTCAAGATGGCATAACCCTTCTTAAAATATGACTGAGTCAAAATAAGAGCATCTATCAACAAGGTTTTAAGCTATTCAAAACTATATTGGTGCTTCTCGTCCATTCAAATGGAACTCTATTTATAACAACTTAGTCATAGGGGCTACAATCATCGAAAAATTCTTGACAAACAGACGATAAAATTCATCATTTTGATATTTGAATCATTTTTGTTATAACTTAGTCATAAGGGTTACAATCATTGAAAAACTCTTGATAAACAGACGATAAAAGTCATCATTATGATATTAGAATCATGTTTGTTACCTTTTATTATTGAAAGATTTGTGTGAGACCTAAAAAATTAAGAACAATGAGAAATTGATTCTATGTTGAGCAAGAGATATTTTTTTATTACCGTTAGCTAACATAACACATTTTTAACTCATTTATACTACTTGTAGCTCATTACATTTAGTTTGTGTACTTGTATTGGGTGTTGAAGCATGTTTTGGGCGACTTTAGTGCATGGTCATCATTATATAAAATCTAGACATTGCATTTGTGTAAAAACGGTTTATAGTGACTCTTTTTGACGTTCATAAGCTTTAATAATCACCTTAGACCTTAAAACAAATGTTTATAGTGAATTTGTATGAGATTATATGATAAAACAAGACATTTCTAAGTTAGAGTATAGATATTAGATAAACTGTATCGATATTATTCTTGATGAAACAAAAATCTAGGTTTTTAGAAGAGAGTATCAATGCCATGTTTATAGGTTATTAATATTATTCCTTTGGTATCGATATAAATATTATGGTATTGATATTGTGGCATTTAAGTCAATTCAAGGCTACAATTGATATCGATACTTAAGGAGAATATCGATACGCGTGAAAATGTATCAATATCATATGGATTAATGACTTCAAACATTTTTTTGGTATCAATACGCAAAGAGAAATATTGACACCCATAGCATGGCATCAATACTCATGCATGGATATTAATACGATTAATATATAAGAAATAGATATTAGACTTTGTTTTATCATATTGGAATTGAGAGTAAGGAATGTAATAGTGTTTCAGATCGAATAATAAGCCTTAAATTTGAGAACTTTTTCACCTTGTTTCTTAAATTTTTTTGATTCATATTAGTCTTTAAATTTAATATTTTTTTCAATTTGGTCTTAAACTTTTTGTTTGGTTCATATTAGTATTTAAACTTAGACTTTTGGTCATTTTGATAGTGAATCACTATGAAATCATCCCATGTGTCAGAGTTTCACGTCATCATAAGATTAAAAATGAAAAAAAAAATCTATCCTAAGGACAAGTTGGACAAAAAAATTAGTTTAGGGACCATAATAGAAAAGTTACCAAGTTCAAAGACTAAAAGCGTCCATCATTTCCTTAAAGGACTAAGCCCTAAATCCAAACATTTTATTGGGCCAATGGCTATAATCTATCCTTTGCATAACATAAACCCAGACCCTAAAAGGACACAAGAGTAATTTCAAAATTAGGGCTTTTGTGTAAACATTTCCTTGAACCTCAGAGCACAAAATTCCCGCAAAAGGCTTGAGCTTTTGCCTAAGCTAAAATGGGTATTCATGTGCACAAAAAATTTGAATATTCGATTTTGCATAATAATATATGAAACCGGATTTAGAAAAAATCATTTTTAAATCGATCGGATTTTTTTAAAATCGGATAGTATAACCCGGTTTGGAAAAAATTGGATGACCTGTTTTTTATCGGATTAAAAACCTGGTTTTTATCCCCAAAAAATTTGGTCTGGGGTTTAAAACTAGCTGTTAATATAACCGGTTTGGGAAAAATTGGACGACCGGTTTTTTTATCTGATTAAAAATCTGTTTTTTTAAAACCGAAATCGGTTACACATCCGCCCTCCAAACTGTTAGGATCCGAACTGATTTTTTAAAATCCGATTTTTTGGCTAGGTAAAAAACTGGATCGATTTTATCCGATCCGGGTCGAATTTAAATCCGACTTTGTGCATCCCTACTCTCATCCCTCTAGTTATTTTTTATCGATCTCTTCTAAATCATGCAATTTTCTGATTAACTTTCTTGCTTAATGGGTTTAATTCTTATTCTTTTTTTCCTGATAGGTATTTCTCGTGATTCTATACACAAAAGGCGTGCCACTGGTGGCTAAGGGTGTAAACGACCGAGTCGAGCTCGAGTTTGCGAGCTCGACTCGAACTCGAAAACTTTAAATGTAAGCTTGACTCGACTCGAAAACTCGCGAGCCTAAAATTTTCAAGCTCGAACTCAAACTTGAATTTAAACTTGCAAAAATCTTATATTACATTTAAAATATATAAATAATTTTCCCTTTAATCAACCATCACCAATACATTATAATATGAATATATGAACTATAAAAAAATCTAAAAAATAAAAATACAATTACAAGAAATTTAGGATAATTTTTTTTTGAAATTCAATCAAAAATCCAAATTAAATGTATAGAGTACCTTTAAATCAAACCCAAATTAAATTAAAACACTAGTCCCACCGTGAAGCACGACAACCAAGCAGCAACGCCCATACCCTGCTACCCAAGCACCACCCATGACCAGGCAAAGGTTTGCTCCCCATCCAGCCACCCATGCTCCCACATGAAGAACACCAGCAGCTAAAAAATTGAGCTGCATTGGTCTTGCCAATTTCAGCCCCCCCAGAGCAAGACCCACACCGTGCCCATATCTGCCCATGCCTTGCTCTACAAGACCCCGTGTCATATTGACGGCCATGAAGAGGAGACCGATGCACTGCCCTGTGTTTTTTTCTTAATATTTTTGTATCATCTGGAAACCGAACCTTGTTGTCCACTTTATTACGTCTTTATTTATTTTTTTGTGAGGTGCTGATTTTAGTTTTTCTTTAGCTTTTCGTGGAAGTTGCTATTTTTCTTTGAACAGTTGTTCTTGTTGCAACTGATTTGCCCTCACTATTTGGGCTATCAGTGCATATTATAGGTTGATCCAATCATGCTATCGTAAGTGTATCAGTTGGTTTCTGCACCTTCTCGAACTTGGTCTCCTACAAAATAGAAGTTCTATAGCAACCCAAGTTATACCTTAGGCAAGAGTCAAGACTTAAGTTTAAGCCTAATGACGTTGTTCTTTCAATCCTTAACTGAGGATATTGCTGTTTAAATTGTTTCACTCTGTGTGCCTATAAGAAGGTGAAACTGCTACAGAAGAGGTGAAGAAGAGCAACCATGCCTTGAGGAAGCTGGAGAAGCGTCAACAGAGTTGCAAGCTTGACCCTCATATTGAGGACCAATTCAGTAGTGGTCGTTTACTGGCTTGCATTTCTTCACGACCTGGCCAGTGTGGCCGTGCTGACGGGTATAACATCTCTTAAATGTCTTCCTACAGAAGCCATATATCATATTTCCCTAACCTCTTTCCTTTTACCATCAGCACCTACAATTGCTTTGTTTGACCTGTTAATTCTTACTAGATAGCTCATAATAGTTTTTCAATTCACTAATCTATTTGAATATGCAGGACAAGTAGTTATTAGTTAACAATAACTATTACCACTCATATTTTAATATGATGTCATATGGGTTTTACAGGCATATCTTGGAGGGCAAAGAGCTGGAATTCTACATGAAAAAGATCCAGAAAAAGAAGGGAAAGGGAGCTGCCTAAAATTTTCTTACTTGAGATTTCAGCTTTCAGAACATTTGATGTTGTGTTAGTGTTGAGCTTTTAGTTTGAATGTCAAGTAGTGGGTTTTGTCCCTATACAATTGTATTCTCATATCCTCAAGTTGCATGTACTTTTTTGTACTTTGAAGTTAGTACCTTGAACTTAATAAATTTAGCCTATTTTGGTTGGTATGGATGTTATTTTCCAGGTTATTTATGTTCCAACAATCACCCTGATGATAGAATTGTTACATGATGCCTGCAGTTGAAGTCCAAAGACTATCCTTCAGGATCTTTCTCCCACATTTCTTGGCCTCAACGTTTCTCCTGATATAGATTTGCAAATCTGTTGTAAAATCTGAATTTGTTTTTATATCTGTATTAAGTTCACATATTACTTTACGAATTTAACCAAATATACAAAAGAATGGTGAGTATTTGATAAAAATGATACAAGACTTCTAAAAGTAAGTTTTAATAGGAATTTTTAAAAGTGAACAACGGAGGAGAATATTCGAACTTATCACAAACTTCAGTTAATAAATTGAAACAATCGAAAGTACAGTGAGATTAAACCTGGGGTCGCTTATTTCCATCATATTGTTACATCAATTATCAAAGTTTTGTTGGGATTAAATCTTAATATTTTAATTTTTTAAGGGTAATGAATAGATAAAGTATAGTTAGTATCACATTGATGGATATATGACTTCTATGTAGATACCATACATATCTGTTGTATCGTTTCATATACTTTATTGATAAAATTAAAATTGAATAATTCTTAGACCAAAATAAAGAATCAAAATTCTAGGCTAAGACTAGTTTTCGGATCTCCAATGTCTTGCTTTCTCGAATCCATTATTGTAACTTTCTAAATCATCGATTGTTTGTTCAATCTCCTCTCGAGTGTTCATCACAAACGGACCACATTGCACCAACGGTTCACCTCCTACTAAAATGAACCTTAACAATTTGGATGACTTGTTCCATGCCTCTAAGCCATCCCCGGCTCCTAGAAGAAGCAAATGGTGAGCATTTATCGGCGACGATTTTGACCGCCCGAATAAATCCTCTCCTTCCAACAAGTAAACAAAGGCGTTCCATAATTTCGGTATCGATTGTTGGAGGTGAGATCCCGGATCTAAAGTGAAATCCAAGTACATTGTTGGGGTTCTCGTATAGATTGGTGATTTTACTCCAAGGCTTCACCGGCTATAACCCTACCTTTGACCCCATCCTTTGCGGTTTCTGCAATGTCCTTGCTTGATATTTCTTGATACATTGGTTCAATCCTGTGAATAATCACATGAAGATGAAGATTAAACTATTTTGGTACAACAAAGCTTACTTGGCGTTAATAAATCATGAATTAATGATTTCAAAATAAAGATAGATAAATTTGAATCAAATTAGAGTTCGATCCGATTAATTTATGTAGTTAATTTTAATAAATTTAGGATATAAAACCAATATTTTCGAAATCGAACCTACATTTTATATTTGGAGGAGCGGTTGAACCAAAGTTGAAGACCCTTTTGGGTTCCTTGTTGTGCAGGCATCTCAGAGTGCACAATACCTCTTCCAGCAGTCATCCATTGAAGATCACCTGCTCCAATGGCTCCTTATGCCCCTCAAAGTCTTCGTGTGTAACTGAACCCTAATGGAAATAAAACATAATTCAAAAATGCCCCTACCAAATGCAATATTAATACATATATGATATTTATATATTCAAATATAATAAACATAAACCTGGAAGTTTATTAACATAAAAATGTATTCCTTGAATGGTCACAATTCTATACCTGAAGCATGTAGGTGACTGTCTCAAACCCTGTTAAACAAAAAGGAAACAGAGTATATATAAGAATCAAAATATTTTTTCCATTTTCAGAAACAGAGTGCACAATTTTAGGGAAAACAGCATGAAAATCAAACCTCTGTGTAGATGATCGGGAAATCCAGAGGGTGCGATGACTGCGATTTCCAGAATCAAAAACGTTTTAATATATTAAAAGATAAAAACATGAAAATAATATTAAAACAGAGCATGAAAACAGAAACACTAACCTGAGAATTCATCCAAAACAAGGAAAGGATCAAAGTACCGTAACTCAAATCTGCCAAAAAAAAGATACACTTTAATCTAAAGAAGTGAAAATCGTAAAAGAATCATTGATTTTAATGGAAAAATAAAACAAAGCAGGAAATGAATGAAGCAGTCACTTAACCTGGCAATGCTTCTTCTTACTATAGCTCCAACTCCTTTGTGTTGTGGCCTAGCCAAAAACTTCATCACCACCAATCTTGGCTCATTTAAACCAACATCACAATTGTTTTTCTCAAGCATTTCGACAGTTTGTTTGGCTTAGTTATGAGTTGTGTGAATGAATTAATATTTATAGAGAAGATATCTATTTGGGGGTAAAACGGGGGGCAAGAGTTGGCCAATTAAACACTCACCACTTTCCTTGTACTTAAGTTAAACGCCTTCTGAAATATCGTCAGTATGGCGTTTCCATGATGTCCGTTGATGCAAATTTTGATCACATCCTTTATTTGATCGCCACGTGTTAAATCATCTATATCACTAGCTATCCGATATTGGTTCTCGACGTTGAATTCTCTTGTTAGTTTGGGTGAATACAAGACCTTATCCGAATTTTAGTCATTTGATAATTGAATATTCATATATTCCTTGTAAACTTCATGTTTAAATTCAAATTTTCAATGATCAAGTACAATTCTTTAATTCTTAAAATTCTTTAATTCGTGCTTTTAATGTTGAATTCTAAATAAACTTCAAGTAGATTTTGATATATTAATACGAGAAACTACCAAAGGGATTGATTCAAGTGGTAAGTAGTTTGACATTGTTTAAGTAAAGTTTCGAGTTTGAGTCATTATGCATACAGAAAATCTCTTCTAGTGTAGGTGTACGACGCGGGTCGGTCCAGATTAATCATGGTGAAGCCTCAGAATCAAGAGGGCAACCAAGAAAAAAAATAAGAGAAATTGTTGTATATGTCGTTTGTGTAAAGTTTAAATTTTATAATTATATATATTTGAACAATTTTAAAATTTTACATTATAATATTTATTAATATAATTATGGATGTTTTTTATTAGTAATTACTTATTTTAATATATTAATAAGTAATTAAAATGAAATGATCAAGGATTTGAACAAATTCTTCTTAATATGAAACAGATATTATTATGTGAGTATTATATGAAAGTGTAAAAAGAAAAAATATAACATTATTGGATATTTTATACTTATAAATAAAATTTTGATTTTTTATTAGTCCAAAGTATATATAAGATAGGATATGCTCAAAAGACTTAATATCATTTGATAATGAACGCTCAAACATCAATGCAGACGTCGAACTTGAACACAAAAACTCAAGAGATAACAACAATCCATTTACCATTGAGATCACTTGATTTATACTAATTTTTTTTCTATTTTTTAGTTCTCAACTAAATATGTTATATCAGCAATCACTATAAGATAAATAAACTCTAAAATTTTAATTACAATACTAAATTACATTAATGATCGAGAATTTAGATTTTTAAATATTGAATTATTTTAGAAAATAGGATAAATTAAATAATATCTTTTAAATCATCTTTTCTTCCTCTTCAAGTATTTCGGTTTAGTTTCTCAGACAAACTCCACAAAACCTTTAAAACTTTTGGCCTTCTTTGATCTCAACATTTGACTGTCAGATCACCATAATTTTGAGATATATTATTTTTCTCAGCGACATCCACCTTTTTTCCATTCAATCATTAGAGTATCGAGGGTGAAAATGAGAATTGTGACAAAAAATGGGTTATGAGTAGGGTTGTAAATGAGACGAGATTGATCACGAGTTACTCAATGTCGACTCGATCAAAGTTTAATCAACACTTGATCAAAGTTTAATCCACCTTTTCGTCATTTTGACCTGGTCAAAGTCGAAGTGAGCTACTTAATACTTAACTTGAAAAGTTCGAGAGCAACTCAAAAAAATAATATATTACATTTTTAGATTTTTTGAATTAAATTATTAATAGTATTAACATTTATATGTTTTTTTATAAATACAATATAAGACTTTTATGTACTTAAAGTTCATGTTCGAGCTTCAATTGAGCTAAGTTCGAGAATATTTTGAGTTCAAGTTTTTTTTAGCTCGAGTTGAGATTGAAAATTTTAAGCTTGTGAGCTTTTAAGTCGACTTGAGCTTCAATTTTTATTTCGAGTTTGAGTCGAGATTGATAATTTTAAACTTGCGAATTTTCGAGTCGAACTCAGTTTTAAACTTTTGAGTCGAGACGAACCAGCAACACTTGAGTTCAATTCATTTATAGCCCTAGTTATGAGGTTTAAGGTTTGATTGTGATTTTAGGTTATGGTTTTGATTGAGATTTATAGTTTAGGGTTTAGTTGAAGTTTTATGGATTTAGGTGAAATGAATGTTGAATACAGACTTAGGGAATCGAAATAAGCTAATTTATTAATTTTAGGTCTAACGACAATCATCAACAATAAACGGTACGGTGACCAATCTAAAAAATAAAATAAAAAATGCCAAGGCAGCACACAATTAGATAGATAAACGAGCGCTTGACTAAAACACAAACGATTCGAAAGTTCAACAATTAAATTAATAATTTTAAACTTCAATTACCAAAATAATAGTGAGAAGAAAGTTGAGTGATTATTTGTAATTTACCCTTTTTAATAGGGTTAAAAAACCTAATAACATCATAGCACCAAAGCATGACACGTGGAAAAATATCCTACGGCCTATGGCTGTGTTTTGGATAATGAAAAATCAAAAGTCAAGTCAAAAGCTTATACCATTACATGCATAATCGTATACCACAACAAAGTAATGGAAAATTTCTACAATGCGACAGCTTATAAAAAAATATTATCGATTTTTTATTATTTAAATAATAAAATCATAAAAAAATTAACTAAAACATTATTATTTCTACCTAAAACATAAATGGTTTTAACATTTCTAATAAAGTATTCAACAATAATAAAACCAGTAGAAAAAATAACAAAATTAGTAGTGTTTTATTGGTTTTATTAACAAAACTTATAAAACACCCAATAACAATAAAATTAATAAAAAATAATAATATTTTTGATAAATTTTTACCGATTTTATTATTTAAATAATAATAAAACCAATAATATTTTTTAATATAGCCGTGCGTGATCATTTCCCAAACTAATGTCTGTAAAGCAACAAACTGTGGAAATCAAAATCATTAATTTCCGCTTTGGGATTACAAAAATGATTACGCTATTATCTTTTCTTTATTATTTTTTATCCTCTCTAAACGTCGTTTGTTTAAATTCAGTCTTGAGCTATATGTAAAAGATTTTTCACAAGTATTAGGTCTTTAGATTTAAGCTCCAACATTCAAAATTTAAGCGTACATCTCAACTTATTATGTGTTATATTCATCATGACTATCTCGTGATCAAGAAAGACCGAGTGTCTTATATGATTAAATATCATTTTACGATAATTTATTAAAGTATTGAAAATCAATTACGAAACAATATATCAGATTGATTCTTTTAATCTCCACACCTACATTAATATTATGTCTAGTTTTAAATAAAGGTAATAAGATTATTAATAGTTGTTTGGTTTTTTTAAGATTATATTCGAAAGAAGTTTTTAGTTTTATTTTTCTTCATGCATATTGAGTTTTTATGTTGAGATTATTTTGCCTTTGTTATATTTTTTTCATATTTTAAAAAGACCTAGCTTTTTGTTAAAAAATATTGTTTAATATTTTATTTTATAGTAATTTATGTTACATAAAAATTAAATATGTAATAATATATATTTTTAAATATTGTATAAAATATTATTATGTTTAGCTGCAGCAATTGCTTGGACCAAAAGAGTGCCCAAACCACAAGTCTTTTGGCGAGGAGTTATAAGTGCAGATTGACCCACCGAAAAATATAAAAGATAGTTCATGATTTTATTTTATTTTTAATTAATTTAGAGTGATTACAAGGTAGTGTTTATTCAAACACTCTTACAGTTTATGGTGTTTGAATCTAGGATCTCTAGACAACGACGATCTATTTAACCACTAAAGTAACTTGGTTCGTACAATTAGTTCATAATTATTGATCCAAAATGAAAATAATAAATAAAAATTTTTCAAATTTTAACATAATTTCAGTGTAATATTTCGATACCTCCAAAAAAATTTTGACAAAAATCTAAACCAACAAAAGTGGACATCAAGTGTTCCGGCTTGAATGATTAAAGCAACATTAATTTATTGTGCTTTCTCATATCTTGAGCTATCAAGTTCTATTGTATTGTTGCGGTTCTATACTTGTCCCATGCTTGATATGAACAAGTTAACTCTGCATATTTCACCACTCTTGAAGCAAAGTCGTTTTTTTGTCTCCACCAGAGGCCTATCAACGTTAAAATCATAAGCACAGAGCGATTAAACAAAATGTCACTTCTTTCCAGCTCTACTTCCCCAAAGCAACATCTATATATATATTGAAAACAACCCCCCCCCCCCAAAAAAAATAATAAAATAAAACCAAAAGAACTTAATTGGAGTAACTATATAATAAACAAATAAATTATTGGAAAAAGCTGAAGCAAAAGTGGGTTCTATGGTGTAGTGGTTAGCACTCTGGACTTTGAATCCAGCGACCTGGGTTCGACTCCCGGTAGGACCTTGAGGATTTTTGTTTCATTTTGCATGTTACTTGGGGCTATTGAGTGTGGTGCTCAAAATGAATCTAAAATCCAATATTTTTATTTGACACCCAAATTCCAAATCCAAAAGTTTTGCCTCAAATCTAAATATCCAAATGGATCAACGTCTAACCAAATAAAACAAACGAGAGAGTGTGTGCTAACACAAAAGAATAATTGCACCGTATCTTTATACAAAATCAAATAGGGAAAGGATCCGTATCTTTTATACAAGTGTGAAGAATGAACAAACCTGCAAAACGAAATGCTAAAAAAATTAACGTCTGTTTGGACTCTGGAGGGGAGACAACTACAAAGAAAAGTTGTATTTTCTGCCTGCACTCAAACTTTCAAGCTACTCCATATCGAAGCAGGCCAACAAGGGGGCAAAATGGTTGAAGGGTAGGTCGGGTTTTCGAAGATTTCAAAACAGTACAGAAATGGCTAGAAGCACAGTCAATAGCGGCACGATGACTGATGCAGCAACTTTAGGCTGTCCATTTGGTGATCTTGGGGCAGCTGCAGTACCATTTGGAGTAGTTGGGGCAGCTGCAGTACCATTTGGAGAAGTAGTTGGGGCTTTGGCTGCGACAGGAGGCAAAGGAGGCTCGACAACATCCGCATCGGTCAGGTAATGGTTTGGAGCTTCAGCTGGTGGCAAGTAAGGTTCTGTGATTAGTTGATAAAGGCTTCCAGGCTGCACGGGAGCCATGTAACCAGGTGTACGATTGCCTCTGTTCAAGCATCGATTCCCTAGGAAATGATTATCACATTAATACTGGTTCGTGACATATTCATATTCTGGTTATAAAAGCGAAAGGCCGGTAGTCTGTAACAACACTTACTCCGGTATCTATTAGATGTCTTTGGGAAGTCTGTAACGACACCATTAATACCGCCCCCCAAAAGAATGAATTGATCTCAACAGTTGCGTCGGAGAAGAAGTCCCATGCTTGTGATGTGAACTCATTACTGAAGGTTTGGACATATACAGAGAGATTTGCAGCTTGTAGCCTTGGTACAACATTTGTAGCATTAGTGATGAATGCTGCATTTTCGGGGAATACAGAATCCTTGCTAATGACCACAGCAGTAGCGAATCTCCTAATGTCTTCAATCGTCGAACTCTGAGCACCTCCGATATCCTCATCAACCTTGTAAACAAGTTCATAGTTGGTTTGACTCTTGAACCTCATTAGAACAGAACTATTACTGGACTGTATCATAACTCTCCGAGCTGTCTGGTTACTGTAGCCAGTTTTGCTCAAGGCATCAAGCACAGCATCAGTTACACCAAATCCTTGCTCCGCAAGGAAAGGCGCATTCTGAAAGCAATAAACAAGTCAAAAAATGTCTAAACTCTTCACAAGAAAATGTCTGCTAGCTATAACCATCACAAATGAAGATTTAAGATAAGACTTCCTGAAGAATGTAGATTTTAGATCATCGAAAAGAGAAAAGGATTGCAAATTTGTTAGAGAATGTCAAGAAAATATTTAGACAATTGCTACCCATATAGAGGAAAAGATCATGAAGATTCTCTTTACAGTATCTATTAAGTTAAAAAATATCCTAAATATATTTAGCCTAAATAGAATAGAAGATACATTACAGTTTACACAATCGGTACTGCATTTCAGCATTTCGAAAACGGGAATGGTCTTTCAATCTCGAGTCAAGTCCAACTAAGGTTAAGTACTAACTGTTCTGGAATCTCTAGAATACTGTACTTTAACAGTGAGTTAGACAATGAAACTGTCAAACAGATGTTGAGTTCATATAAATTGAACTATGTTTCTCATAATAATTAAGATACCATGTTAACAGTAGCCCCCTGGCATGACAGAAAAATAGCTACCATTCACAGTCACTGTGCCTAACCTCTCAACATCCATCATTAGGTTCAATAATGTGATTAGAAATAGAAAATAAAATTATGGCAGTAAACTCGAATGCAAGAAACTTGAAGAGCAAAAATATAGAAAGGGAAGGAACTGACCTCTATGCCGATTAAGACACCTTGAAGAGAGCTAGCATTGCTTGCCATGTTTAAAAACTCGGATAACGTTAAGAACTTCCCAGCATTTCTGAACTTTGGGTTTCGAAACAATTTGAACTGTGACTGTGGGCTTGATATTACAGCTATAATGAAGTAATGATAGATTAAAACAAGGAAGGTGACAATAAGCTAATGCGGATTATATCTCTTAAAGGATGATATTACAGATTTAGATGATAGGCAAAGTGTAAAAAATTATAATATGTACAGTAGCAAGGAAATATCATCTCCCAAAGCAAGATTCATTCATGCTCCATCAAAATTAGCTATGGAACATGAAGAGCATTCGTTAAGCATAAAAAATATATATATATATAAAGCCACTCGATGTAAAAAAGTAATAATGTACAAACACCGATCTATATTGAGTTGGAAAACATTTTTTTCCAACATGTTATGTTTATATCTAGTAGAAAGATCCACCCCGAAAGAGAAAATAAATAATAAAAGAAAGCAAAAGTTCAGTATAACAAGGACAAACAAATGAGAACTATATTTACTTACGTGTCAAGCTTTGAATATCACTCCATGACAGATTAAAGGTAAATATTCCACTGCCCTGCATAATCTCTGGAATTGTTGTTGTACGATCGCTAAAACTTGATTGGGCAACTTTTGTGCTATCTATGAGATTTATAGAGCTCATGCAAATAGGCATTCCGTCCATTGTCATTTGAACAGGACAGTCAAGAACATCTACACCATCTTGAATTGCTTTTAAGTACGCCAAATTTGTACAACCAGGAAAGTCTCCACTTGCCCCATTACTTGAGATGACCAAAAGGTCTACTGTAGAATGCCAAAAAAAGAAAATAGCTTAACGATAACCTTAAAACAATTGTTAGTGCCTTGAAAGACACAATCACATAGCCATTACCACCATCTCTTAGAAAGAAAATATAAGGTCTTTCAATCAGAAGCATTGTATAACGACATACCTTGTTTTGAAGCATTTCTGCCTAGATGAGCAAAGCAATCTGAAATGTTAAACGAAAGTTAGCATATCAACAGAAAAATATTATTACCCATGAGCAGCAAAATGTAATGGTATTTAGTAAGAATCCTCTTATTTTTGACGCAACCATGGCAAGAGGCAACTATCGAGTAAAAATCAACAAAGTTCAAGTTTCTTAGGCGCTGTCTTTGTTATGGGTCAAATCTCACAATAGGATGTAGCACTCTTTTAGTCATAAATCAGGATATACTCTCTAATTTGTGAAAACTAGAAAAATTCAGAAGACATTTGCAAGATGGCAGCACAAGTCACTACAACAACTAATGATCCTCAAGAAAAATTTGAATTTGACCACAAGTTAAACAGCAAATATCAGTGTCAAAAAGAAACTGAAGAATGCTATGAGGATTTACATTGCATCAACAGATATATGCCTCACCTATAGCTGCTGATGGCGTTGTTGGGAAGTCAGATATAACCCCATCAACGGAGAATTGGCCATTATTAACAAACTGAAGATACTCAGCCACTGGATCATAGGAGTAGTTGAAGCTAAACGGAACATCATTATAAAATTCGGATGCAAAAACTTGTAGGCCTACTCTGTGAGCATCCAAGACGAGAGAAGTATAAGGCAGCAAGTAAAGTTGTCCATCTACAGGCCATATATAAGACTTGGGGACAATGATTCCAGAGGCAAATGTCCTGATAAATGTGATATTTCTTAAGAGAGAACCATAAGTCTGATTGGTTGAAGGCTCTATATCGTTCATTCCTAGAAAACGGAAGACAAGATTTGTTGCTGTTCTTCGGAAATTTGGTGCAATACTTTGCAGGAAAGCCACTTCCGGTGATGAGATATAGTTAATAGTTACATTTGCATTTCTAGTTACAGAAAGTACAAAGCTTCTCATACTCAAGTTGTGTTGTGCATAGAATGCATCATGCTGCAAAACAGAAACACGGTCAATTAAATCCAAAAGAGGAAGATGGAGTTGTAATAATTTAACAAGGGGATAGGAAGAAACACGATGGAAAAGGTATGAAGGCATTATTAAGCATTGAAAAATCCTTTACCTGAATATTCAACCAAAAACCAGGTGGATTCAACTGTGTATAGGTAGACTGAACAGTCATAATCGCGTAATTATTGCCATCAAACTTATTAGTTCGAGAATAGACACCTTGATTTACTGTCCAGATAACAAATAACACATTAAAATATGACAGGCACGCCAAACAAATGAAATCATAGAAGAATATATTACTAGTACATTTTGAAGCAAGTCAACCAAAAACAAACTTTTAGAAAAGGCTGAACCTGTATAGGTAATAATGTTGACATTAAAACTGGCATGCCCATATCAAAATTCCTAAAATGATACCCGATTGCTTGCAAAATGGCTTGAACTAGGTAGTGGTTGGGGAATGAGAGTTTTAAGATTCAAACTAAAAACTAATTTGAAACCAGTATGATCAACTTGGCACTCATAAGTTCATTAACTATCCATTCCACAAAGTTTTAGGAGATAATAATAATAATCAGAATGAAACAAGGACAACAATAATGAATGACATTAAGAACATTGATGATAGCAAGGGGGGAAGGATAAATGTTGAGCTAACTTACATATGACATTTCCAAGTTCCCTGAAAGTGAAATCAATAGAAAACCATCCCTTTGTAGAGACTCCATTGACAAGGTAAGTCCCCTGTCTATCATTGTATACACTTGCCACGTCAGAATTATTATCTAGCTTAAGATCAGGAAAGCATATCCCAGCTGCATCCCTTGTTAATTGCACATCACACCACAAGATCACATCAGGTAGACTGTTAATAAAGCCAAACTATAAGCTCCAAAACTGGAGTCTGCAAATACTCCTGAAAATCCACCATGTGCTATGACAAGTGGCGGCCTCCCTGCAAAAGCAATTAAATGGTTTAATCTTATTGAACAACAAAATTTTAATTAGCCTTGATGTCTGTCTACTAAGTAGAATCTGAATGAGGAGAAAGCTCAAGCCCTTTGGTATTGGAAAAAGGGCCCTCTTTTTTTCCGGTTTGTAAAATTCATTCTAATTTAAGAAGGAAGAGTCAAAATAGAAAGCATAAATATTCAAAGAAGTAGATCAAAAGGCATCAAGCTGCATTTTCAATCGATTTGTTCCATATCCCCGTCTATAATAATTAAAAATATCTACTAGTGAATAAATGAAACAAATATAAGACTCAGAAACAACTTTATATTTCAAGTAAACCTGAAATAATAAATGTTAAAATTACCCAGCAAAAAAAGAAAATTTACTTGCAGTTGATCTTGAGAAACCAAATGGAAAACAACTAAATTTCAAATTAAGGATCATAAATCTATAAAGAGCAGGTCAAGTTTTAATACTAATAAAGGAAAATATTTCCACTTTGACAGACTTGGGATTGGAATTAGTTTTTTGAATGAAGCTGGAACTTATTACAAACATACATTTTGTCATCGTTTCTTCCACTTTTATACAAACGAAAGAGAAATTAGACAAAACTTGAATTCTTTTTTTCCTTTACTTGAAGGACGGCAAAGTTTCTATTCATCTTTTCTCCGTTTTCTTTGTCCACAAACAGAAAAATACTGAAGAACAAAAAAGCCAAACCCAAACTAGCTAAAACTCAAGCATAAGACAAGAAAATTAACTTCGACGAATCTGCTAAAAGCTCAGGCAGCTAAAAGTAAGCTTATTTTGTGGAATTTTTATTATCATTTCCTCCACTTTTGAGGAAACGAAAAGCCAATAATTGAGGAAACTCAGGAATACTGAACATGCTTCCGGTTCAACAAGCTATTTTCTCAGCTATCTCTCCTATTTTCTCATCAATCAAACACAAACCCAGCTAAAATATTAAAACGCACCGTTTAAAGTCTGCCAACGAGAACCATTAGTCGATCCTTGAGCAGAAACCAAAGCTACGGAAGCTAAGAAAGCTTGAAGTACAAAAATGGCAACTGAAAGGCCCCGTAAACATGTCATTGCCAGAAATATCTTTTCCGATGACAGCTCAGCTCAACTCCGGCCGGCGACAGTTTCTTCCTTGCGTGCAAGATTAGAGAGAAGAGAACAATAACAGAAAAAATAGTGAAGTTTTCAGGCTGTATTTCAATGGAATTTTGAATATAATTACGACCTTTTACTTGATTAAAGAATGTTATGCAACCCCAAATTACGCGTTGTCGTAAGCTCAGCTTGAGCCGCTTTCACGAAGGTTCTTGCCTTTTTGGAGACTCTTTGTCGTATAATGACCGATTCCACGATATTATTGTGAAGGGATAGCAAATAATAAAATTAAAGATAAATTAAAACGGGATGGGGTTTCTCGAGACGCACAATAGCAGGTCTGATGTGTGTTCTGATTCTCTTCTCCGGTGTTAATTTTGTCCTAGTTTTTAATATTGGGTGATTGTTAGTTTTCTTGGTGACTTTCACATGGATTTGTCGTCTTTGAAACTCGATTGGAGGAAACTATTTGTTGGAACGGAAGAGCAGTCTCTCGCATTTTTTCCCTCTGAGGTCTTAGATGGGGTCCTCACTGTTAAACCGCCATTGACAGTGATTGAGGAGGATATAGCTGATTGGAGCTTCGCAGTTGTGGGTCATTTTATTGGCGCTGCTCCTAATTTCGTCTCGATGTAGCGGATTATCAACTCTCTTTGGGGAAATCCTCTTCTGTTAAGGTTAGTCTTGCTGGTGCTAATCTTTACGTCTTCTCGTTTGAAAATGCTTCTATTAGGGACTGGATGCTTGAGAATGGGCCATGGCATGTCCATAATAAACCTCTGGTATTGAGGAAGTAGGAGCCCTGTATGCAAAGGTTGGATTTCGATCTTTTTCACATGCCTGTGTGGATTCAGCTCTACAATGTGCCTCTGTAATTATACTCTAGAAGAGGTCTCAGCTATATCTCTAGTGCTTTGGGTAATCCATTATACATAGACTCCATAACTGCTTTTAGGGGAAGATTAGAGTTTGCTAAAGTTTGTGTCGAAATCTCTGTCGGGTCTGTGTTGCCAAATGAGGTTCAGGTAGTTCTTAAAGATGGATCAATGGTGAGGGTAGGTGTTTTTGCTCCTTTGCTACCAAGGGCTTGCTCTAGTTGTAAAACTTTTGGTCATCTGGCTGGCAGGTGTGTTGTAAGTCAGAAGGCAGTTTCAAAGCAGGAGGTTCAAGTTTGGAGGAAAAAGGACATTATACCTTATGTTCCTTGTGATGTACAGAAGATGGATTTGAACTCTCCTCATGTGGACTCTATTTTGTCTCCTAGTTCTTCAGGCAATGATATTCCTGCAGCTGTATTGGTTGTTCTAACCCTGAATTGTTAGTTGGCGAGGCTGAGTTAGTTCCTGCGTCTTTCTTGCAGGAGATTCTTGTTGGCCAAGCTCAGGAAGCTACTATTTATGTTACTGCTTCATAGGACAGCAGGGAGATGTGTGATATTGCTGTGAACTTGGTGGCTACTACTGTTGATCCTGATTGTTTGCCTAACTCTACCTTAGTAGAGGATGTTGCTCATAAAGTTTTACAAGAGGATTTTGGGTCTGATTTTCCCACATTGCAGGACTCTGTGGTCCAAGAAGAAGGTTAAGGGTAGGAAAAAAGAGAATATCGGTTCCTCCAGTAAACTTGATGTGTTGGTTGGTGGTGGTGGTGTTGCTGATTGTCATAGGAAGGTTATAATAGCTTTCATGAGGGTTGTTGTCCTGCTAAATGAAATCAAAACTAAGAAGAGAGATATAGTGGACAAAGCTAAAGGAAGTGTGAATGTAGGGGTTGGTGTTGGTGTTGGCCCTGCTGCTAATTGATGATTGTGTGCTTCTGGAGTGTAAAGGGGATTAACAATCCCCTTAAGCAGCAAAAGGTTCTGAGCAGGTTGGTTAACTTGGATGCTGATGTTGTGTATCTTTTGGAAACTAGAATTAGAAGTATTAATGCTGATAAATTCTATTCTACTTATTCTGATGTGTGGAACATGGTTGATAATTATTTGTGTTCTGAGGGTGGCAGAATTTGGGTTATGTGGAGGAAGCAGTGGTCCTTCTCTGTCTTGAGGACTACTGATCAGTCTATTACTATTTTTGGAATTGTTAATGGCCATATGACTTTTATTACTGCTATCTATGGCAGTAATAGTAGGGTTGCCAGGAGAGAGTTATGGGATCATTTAAAGAACTTGGAAAATGAGGCTGGATCTTCTCCTTGGGTAGTAGGGATGACTTTAATGTTGTCCTCCAAGCTGAAGAGAGTTCTTACTATGAGACTCTGGGCGACCATAATTCTCCTGACATGAAGGATTTTCAAGGCTGTCTGGAGGACCTGGACTTTTTGGATCACTCATTCTTAGGCCCCTCATTCACCTGGTCTAATAGACAGGATGAGAGATTTTTAGCTCGCAAGCTGGATTGAATTTTGGTCAACCATCCTTGGTTGGCTGCTTATCCTGATTCGTTTACTGAATTTAAGGCTCAGGGTGTTTCTGACCATTGCCCTGGTGTGATTTGGACTCAGAGGGTGTCTTGGCTAGGAGGCCCAAGCCTTTCAAAATTTGTAACTGCTGAACCTCAAGTGTTGACTTCTTGGTTATTGTCAAGGAGTCTTGGAAGGAGTAATGTGATGGGAATCCTATGCAAAGGCTATTCATAAAGCTGAAAAAACTAAAGCCTAAGTTGAAGGAGCTTAACAAAGAACAGTTTTCTGATATTTCTAACAGAGTGCTTAGCAAAAAGGCTTACTTGGAAAGGATTCACTTGTTTAAGTTGAGTCATCCAGATCTGAAGAACATGGACGAGGAGAGAAAGACCCATGCTGAGCTGGTAGACTTAGAGATTGCAGAATCTGAATTCTACAGGTAGAGGGCAAAGGTTCATTGGTTACAAGAGGGTGATCTCAACACCAAGTTCTTTCACCAAAGAGTTGAATCCAACAAGAAGAGAAGCACCATTAAGATGTTGGTGACTGAAAATGGACAGTTCCTAGACTCTTTTGATGACATGGCGGCTGAGTTAGTGAACTTCTTCACTAATCTCATTGGTATTGCAGACCCAATGGTCAAATGTCCTCCTGTGGAGTGCCTGAGAGACTTACTGAATTTTTCTCTACCTGTTGATGTTGGAGCTATGCTTATTAAGGAGGTGGAGGATGAGGAAATTAAAGAAGCCTTGTTTAGATAAGGCAATGGTAAAAGCCCAAGCCCTGATGGGTATTCTTCTTGGTTTTTCAAGGATGGTTGGGATATGGTGGGCTGTGATTTCCTTGCTGCAGTCTGGTTCTTTTTTATCTCCTCCTACCTGCTGCATGCTTTTAATTCTACTATTATTGTCTTAGTTCCTAAGGCACTAAATGTTTGCATGGCAAAGGATTTCAGACCCGTTTCTTGTTGTATTGTAGTGTACAAAACCATCACTAGAATCATCACTACTAGACTATCTCACATATTTTCTAGTATAATATCCCCTAGTCAGACTACTTTTGTAAAGGGAAGAAATATTGTTGATAATACCTTACTAGATCAGGAGATTGTTAAAGGCTATTCTTGGAAAAGTCTTTCTCCTAGATGTGCCATTAAGATTGATCTACAAAAAGCTTTTGACTATGTGAATTGGGACTTTCTGATGGTTGTACTAGAGGCTGTAGGTCTTCCTGTGAATTTCTGTAGTTGGATAAGGCCATGTGTTACTTCATCTCAATTTTCTGTTTCTTTGAATGGTAGCCTTGTGGGTTATTTTAGGGGTGCTAGAGGAGTTAGGCAGAGGGACCCATTGTCCCTTTACCTCTTTGTCTTGGTTATGAATGTTCTTTCTTCCTTGCTGGATGTATCTACAAAAAAGGGAATCTTTAGGTACCACCCTAAGTGTAAAAGAATTTCACTTACACACCTTTGCTTTGCTGAAGATCTATTGGTGTTCTTTCATGGTTCCATGGATGTTTTGAGTACCCTGAAGGTTTTTATAAGTTCTCCGATCTTAGGCTTAATGCCCAGAAAACTAAACTTTATGCTTGTGGTTTATCTGATTCTGTCCTTCAGCAAATCCAATCTGGTACGGGATTTAGGGTTGGTATGCTCCCTGTTAAATACCTTGGGGTATCTTTGGTGACCAGGAAGCTCACTAGCAAGGATTGCTCTGCTTTGGTGACTAAGATTAAAGAGAAGCTTTGTAAGTGGTCTAATAGAAAGTTGAGTTTTGGGGACAGGCTACAACTCATCAAATATGTCATGTTCAACATCTTCAGCTATTGGAGTAGGCAACTCATCCTGCCTAAAGGGGTCATTAGTGATGTTGAGAGACTTTGCATGAGGTTCTTTTGGAAAGGCTGTGATTTCCCAGCTAAAAGAGCCCGAGTTAGCTGGAACCAGATCTGTTATCTGAAATCTGAGGGAGGCTTGGGGTTGAGGAGTCTGGTTGATTGGAAAGCTTGTTGTCTGAAAATCTTGGCGCTTGGATGCTTGTTTCAATTGCTTTCTCATTGTTAGCTGGATCATAGTAAAGCTGTTCAAAATGAGGAGTGATGCTGTGAGACTATTTTGTTCCGGTAGTAACTTATATCAAATTAGAGCCAGCTGCTTATGGGATAAGGTTCGAAGCAGGAGTGAGAAGGTTCCCTGGCATCGCCTTGTGTGGTTTCCTGGCCACATTCCAAATTTTTCACTGATCTCTTGGATGGCAATCTTGGATAGATTGCCTACTAAGAACAGGTTAGCCAGGTTTGGTATTGTTACAAACAGTGTTTGTAGACTGTGTAGCTCTGGCCTTGAGTCTCGAAGTCACCTCTTCTCTGAATGCTCTTATGCAAGTGAAGCTTGGTGTGCTATCTTGCTGCTATGTGGACTTTACCATGTACCTACTGGTTGGAACGATCTTCTGCATTGGTTATTGCTAAACCTGAAAGGTAAATCATTGCTGGTGCATATCCTCAAGTTGGGTTGGACTGACTTTATCTATTGCATTTGGGAGGAACGGAATCGTAGACACTTTAGAGGGATGCATTGCTCGGTTGACACAGTTATTGGTAGCGTTAAAGAATCATGATAATTAAATTGTATAGGAGCTTTATGAATAGTCTAGATATTGTAAATAGGCAATTGTGTATAGATTGGGGACTGATATAATGCCTTGATTTATGTTTGTAGCAGCTTGGCTGCATTCTTCTGGATGAATGGAATTCTACTTATCCAAAAAAAAAAATTAAAGATAAATTACAAGAATGATCATTAAATTATTATCCATTTTTTATTTTAACCATCGAGGTTTCACTTTATTCAAGGTCGCATGACATAGATTAGTGACCCACAATTCATCAACTAGAATAAACAAGTTATTAAGTAGAATGGTAATATGTAAGGAATGAATTGGGTTTTCTTTGTTTATGATGGAAAATTGAAAGCAAGAAAAATGGATTAAAAATAAAGATTATTATGGTACAAATAAAAAAAACTGATTTGGGTAAATTACATTAAGAGTTATTAATGTTTGAGTAAGTTGTTGTTACCTACAAATGTTTTAAAAGTAATAATTTGATCATTGATATTATTGATTTATAACAAATCAGTCACTAATTATTAATCGTCGTTACGTTATTAATAGTCGAAGGTCATTTCTAAAGACGAGTTCGAGCTGAATGCATTCATTGTTGACTCCATATTCATCATGGGATCTTTTCGTGCCTTAACTCGAATTGTAGAAGAAGGAAAATAATTTGCAAGGAAAGGAACTTGTCTTTGTCATAGGCAGATTGGGAACTCGGATTGGGATTTCGATGCACTATCAGAGGCAGTTTCACCTTGCATAAGTATGTTTGGATCAAGTTCGTATTGAGAATATTAGAGTAATCTCTTGATGGAGAAAGCATTGATGCAAATGAATACGTGGTAAAAAGGATGGTGATGAATGATTAGAATGAAGATGAGAGGATTATGTTGCAAAATGACGATGATGTGTTTGAGGATGAGATTGATATAATTTATTCATAAGAAGAGTTAAATTTCCGAATGATTTAGATTTAAGGTTAAATTAATGAATGTGTAAATGTGAAAGATTAAAACTTTTATATTTTTATACAATATTTTTTTTAAAACCTGAAAATTATTATTTCATCTAACACGAGAATAATGAATTTATCTCTATCACTCGATTCTTAAAAAAACAAAGCCCAAATAATTGTTTAACAAAACCACATGTCTTCACAAAGTTGTTAGATCATGTATTGGAATGTTAAAGAATATCTTACAATAAAGATGTAGAAGTGAAACTGTTAAAAACAATAATATCATTATAAAAAATATCATTAGATTTAATTAAATTGTGTTTGTTTCTAAAAAAATATCATTACATTATAAGGAGAGTAATTTTTTTCAAAATTATATTTACACGTTTGGTTAATGAAAAAAATTATTATCATATAATAATTTATTACTAATAATAATATTGTTTTAAAAAAAATGTAGAAATGTCATTACCTTCAATTTATTAAGTATTACACAATTATTGTCATTTTATATAAAAATGACCCTAAAATAATTAGTTATTTCATATGAATATTTCTCAAATCTCATTATTTGAATATATTTTATAAATAAATAATACTTATAAAAATTATTTAAAAATTATAAGTTTGATATACCAATTATATTAATTATATTTAATATATTTTCCTCAAACGTTAGATAATGTAACGATTAAAATATTTTTATAAATTTTCATTCAAACATTTGTTATTTAATATTAAAATTTAACTTATTGAAAAGAATAATATCATAAGAAAATTTAATAAAAATATATATTTAAGTGATCTTTTATTATTTTAACTAAATAATATTTCATTTTAATATCTTATTTATAAAGATAACCTTATATTCCACATCCTCTGAAAGGTAGCTAGGGGAAGGAGTTAAAAAACCGAGTCCAATTTCTTTTTCCACGGCTGGAGCCAGTAAGCCAAGCCAAGCCATCCTTTTTCTGATTGGAAGACAGCTAGTAGGCCCACGTGGGATTACCCCATTGGCTTTCCTACCAAACGTGTGGTTAACGTTACAAGGTGGAAATCCCACCACAACGAATTAAACAAAAATAATAAATAATAGGAAATTTGGGGCAATTAGAATTAGAACACACTTCTTTTTATTTTTTTTATTAATTCGAAATGAATATAAGTTATTATCTGTTAAAATATTATTTTTAATCATTTAATAATAAAAATTTAATTCATTAATATGTGATGCTTGAATCAAAACCTCAAGAGATACGAAAAATAATAAAATTTTTAACCATTAAAATCATTTTATTTACGCAATATTCTTTTGGTGAAATTGAAAGATTTTGGCAATTTGTGATTTGGTTTGGGATTTTTGTAGGGCTTGGTCAAATTATTATTGTATTTTGATGTTGACTTTAATTATTATTTATAAATATAAAGCCATGGAATTTTTTATTATTTTAATTTAAGAAATTCAATGAGCAAAAATATATGTTTGGCTTTATTAGCTGTATGTGAATGACTGTCCCTTATTCCCATATGTAATGAGATAAGGGGAGGTAAGATAGTAGGCTGCCCCCAACACGAAGTTGAGAGCAGCTTCTGTAGGAGACCTCCGAATTATGAAATGCCTTCCATGGGACTCGATCCCACGACCTCAAGGTTAAGAACCTTGTGCTCTACCAGCTGTATATGATTAACATGAAATCAATATTATCACATTTCAACCATTGAAATTAAAAATTAAGATAAAGATCAACGAAGATAATATAATTTGAATTTATATATATTAATTTGTAAATTAATATTCTCTCATTTCAAAATTTAATGATGGAATTATAAAAGAAAATATTCTCTCTTAACCAACTCATATGTCCATTCACATGTAGACTTTTCTAATGATGATATTATTATTTCATGCATGTTCTCAGACATTAATCGCAATATTAATTACGGAAGGAAGAAAAGGTACAATTGCTTGCTTAGTTGTTTTTTATAATATAATAATTGTAGGATTTTCAGTGATTATCTACTAAAAGTTTAGGAGAAGCATGTGTTTATTTTACAATTTAACTTTTTCAAGTATTATATTTTTATTAATTATGTTTATATTAAAATTTTATTTGTACTCATATCAAATAATAATCTTATATAATTAATATATACGTGCATACTTTAACAAGTATTTCTAGATCCATCACTATGATTATTCCTTTATTCTTTAATATAAAACTAATATATTCATTACTAAGTCATCTAAACATCAACATCATTTTATTAATTGCAAGTTGCATAACGAAAGGCCAAGAGAATTTTTAAAACGACCAAACTTCTACAAAATTTAATTACACCATTTTTAATTTAAAAAAGGGCTTCTTTACAAATATTTTTTTAAAAAATAAGATTATTTAATTGTTATTTTTATTGATTTTAATGAAAGGTTTGATCAAAATATCCTCTCTCCCATCGATTTAGGATACATTATATATCTATAAAAATTGCAGGTTGAGATGCAGAGGACAAAGAAAGGAAAACTTGCTCTAGGTTCTTGTTTGAAGATGAGAAAAGAGAAAAGAAGAAGGGATATGAATATGAAGAAGAAGAAGGTTTGGGAAAGAGCATAGGAGAAAAAAGGTGGTCACTATATCCCAAAATGACACACCATATCAGCTCCAATTCTCCACAATCACTCATTATTTTCTTGAATGGATAAATTATCTTTTAGGTCCCGCTACTTTCATTTTAAGCTCAAAAGTCCCTTTTTTATCTCCAATTAGATAAAATTCTTACTTGATTACGCTCAAAAGTCCTATTTTTATCTCCAATTATACCAAATCCTTACCTGATCAAGCTCAAATTCAACCCAAAAGACCTACATGCAATAACTAATTTATTCAATTAAATTTCAGGTCAACGTTAAAACATTGACTCTAAATTTTAGGTTGTTTCATATAAACTGACCCAAGATAACAACCCGAGAGCCTTGTTGGCCTAACTACCTAGATGACTCGTTTTAATTATGGGTATGGGGTGATGATTGGGTCACTGTCAAACCTGTTTGTAATTTTTAAAGCTTGTATATCTCTAAGCATATTTTGGGTTTTTTTTTCTTGGAATATTGTTATTAACCCAGTGCGTTATATCTGCCCCATTTTTAGTGTGTAATGTGCAAAAACGAGTCACACATAGTTAAGCCCAAATTCAACATAGTTGAACAATCCCACAAATCAAGGGATCTCCAGCAACGATTCAGTGCCCGAGATGTATGCATTTTTCATTGAATCACTACTACAGTTTTGCTGATGAATTTGACTTTAATAATCATAATATGTTAGATTATATGATTTTTAATAGTTAGAGTTGATTATAGGTAGCATATGTTTAGAATTATTTTTAACTTGTCGACAACGTGCACAAACCCTAAAAACACAACTGTTTGAATCCAAGATTTACAGGAAGAACAATATTCTCATTTACCATTTAAACCAATGATTGAGTACGTAGTGATATGTTAGTATTAGTTGCATTGTGCATTTTAATGTCAAACACTTATGTTGATAAAACGTGCTCACATCAATGCAAAGCTAATTGATGTTCGTCCGATATGAAAATAAAATGCATTGAATGCTAAGTGAGGAGATTAGAAATTTCAGGTACATTAAAAAAAATTAAATTTTCATATATTTAAATTTAAATATTTTTAATTTAGATATTTAAAATTATAAATAATTAAAATATTATATTTTTTACTTTAAAAAATATTGCACGACAAATAAAAAACACATGGTAAGGCACAAGTAGTTCATTTTCTGATAGGTTTAAAAAAGATATTGTTTTTACCAAGCTCTAGCACTTCCAATTAACGATGGACGGTATCAAAGGCCCTTCTAATTGATTGCCATTTAAGTTGAGATTACTCAATTGACAGTCCTGTTGGAGGAATCATCCCACTGTATCTTGTTCTTCTATAGATTCAGAAACCAAAGGCTTTTGCTCAAGTGCCATCGGAATAACTCCACTCAAAAGTTGTTGTAAGTAGTATTGTAAATGAGATGAGACAGATCGTGAGTTATTCGAGCTTGACTCGGTTAAAGTTTGATAAAATACTCGACTCTAATGGACTCAACTCGACTCGAGTTCTTAATGAGCCAAAACGAGCTACTTGATATTCGACTAGAAAAGCTTGTGAACAATTCGAAAAAATAATATATTAATTTAAAAATGAATTATAAGGTTTCTATGTACTTATGGTTTATGTTCGAGTTTGAACTTCACCCAAGTTAAGTTTAAGTTTCTTTTTTATTTCAATCTTTTTCGAGTTTCAATTCATGATTTTGAGTTCAAGTAAAGCTTAAAAATTTTAGGCTCGCGAGCTTTCGAGCCGAGTCAAACTCCATTTTAAAATTTTCGAATCGAATCAAACTCAATAATACTCGAACTTGACTCAGCTCGTTTATAACCCTAATCATAAGATATGTCAAAAACTCCAACGGAACTTGTATTGAATATTAAATTATTATTTGAGATCATAAAGACACTTATTGTCCGAGATAGAATCGTAAGATTTCCACGAAGGAAATTAGAGTTTAAGCCTACTTCCATGGATGTCTTTAAATTTCTTCCATGTAAGAAACTTTTCCGTTCAAACTATTATTCGAGATCGGAAAGACATTTATCGTCCGAGGTAATATCAAAAGATTTGCATGAATGAAACTGGTGCTTAGGTCTTCCTGATGGAAGTTTCCAATCTTCTTTCATGTAAGAGACCTCTCCACTTAAATGACTATACCACGTAACTTTGGTCTCAAAGATTGCATCGGAGAGATATTATGCTTCTTATCATGAATGAACACATTATTTTATGTTAAAGAACGGATTTATAAAATTTGATTAGAACGAAAAGTCGAAAACATATTATAAAATACAAAAACTCATCAAATGATATTCGTGGTAAAGGGATATATCTGTAGGATGTTTGTGCGTTTTTAATTGATTAAAAAAATCAAAACAAATATTACTTTATAATCGTCTTAAACTGTTAAAAGTATATTTAAATATGATAATTTAGACATTTGTAGAATGCAGAATTAAAAAAATTTGTATTCATTAGTTTAACTCAAAGAAAAGATGAGGACGTGAGCTTGCTTCTTTGAATCATGAATTAAGCCACCTAAAACACATTAAGGACATTAAATCTTCCGTATTGAAAAATATCAAAATAAAATTTTAATTATAATTGATGGTCAAATAAGATAATTTCTTTTTATTAATTTAACATGTTATGTCTCCTTCTTCTTCCCTCTCTCAATCCCTACACTAAGACGATGCAACAACCAGCACTGGGTATGGTCCCACCTCCAATGGCTCCGCCACCGTCTATGGCGGGAGCTCCACTGGCCCAGCAACAATACCAATACCAGCAACCTCCTCCGGCTCCTCGGTCTCAGCAACCTTACATGTACATGATGCCGCCTCAGAGTCATCCTCCTCGATGTGGACCCCTCAACAGGGTTCGGCAGGGATGTTGACTCATCAATCGAGGACGGGTTAATCTGGTCAACCAGTTAGCAAAGATGAAATTCGGACTTTGTGGATGAGAATTGTCTCACGAGTTGTTTTGCTCAAACTGGGGAGGTATTCAATGTCTTTTTCTTATTATTGTCTCTTGAATGTTCATTGCTAAGACTAGCAAGCATTCAAATTTGAGATGCGTCTTTGGAATTATGATGAGAGAGGCTGGAATGGATTGGTTTGGTTCTCGGGGACTTTGGGAAAGATATTTCTTTCCAAGCAGCGTGTTCCAAAGGTCTGGGGAGTTCCGCTTGTTCCTTGACTACCATCTTTGTCAATTTTGAATTTGTGATGAACTTGTTTCTCACAGGATCTTTGGGTCTCGTAACATTTTTGAGTTTTATCATTTGCAGTGCAGTAATGATAGTGTCCTACCTGCTTTTTGGCCTTTAATTGAAGAATGTATTACCCTGCCCTTACAGAGGAGGAGGAGGAGGAGGTGGAGGTCTATTTTTTAATTGCCGCGTAACACTAGAGTTAACGTGACTTAACGGAGGAGGTATATAAACCGAACTGACCGATAATGAATGTGATTAAACGCTCAGACATTTTTAAACCGATGACCAAAGTAGAATAGACCAAAAACAAAGGTACTACTCTTATAGTTTACCCTTTTTCTTTTTGCTTTTAATTATTTGATTATTATATTCATGCAAAACATGTGATTTTCTATATTAAATTAGTTAATGTCAACTATATTCCTGAAAATTCACAAATCTTCATCAGGCTTCGACATCAAGAAATGGAGGCACAACTTGAAAGCACCATCAAGGTATGGATTTTGGCTATAATCTCTCTTTCTTATTGTTTCTACGTATCATCAAAACTCCCCAGAGGCATATTCAGGCTTATTTCTTTGATCCCAATCTTCATCCTCTTCCTTTACCTCCCTCTCACCATCTCCTCCGCCCATCTATGCGGCCCCACAGCCTTCTTCCTCGCTTGGCTAGCCAATTTCAAGCTCCTCCTCTTTGCTTTCGACCAACCACCGCTCTCACCGCCGCCTCCAAGCCTTTTCCATTTCATTTCCTTAGCTTCTCTCCCCATTAAACCCAAACACACAACCCCATCTCAAAGCAAATCTAAACCACCCCAAAGATCAAACAACACAACCTATCTCCCAAAATCAATCTTGTTCGCCATTAAAGTTGTAATATTAGCTCTACTTTACCATTCTTATAACTACAAAAATTATATCCATCAAAATGTAATTCTAGCAATGTACTGTGTCCACACCTACATCGAGCTTGAGCTCACTCTAGCCTTGGCGGCAGTCCCGGCTCAAGCCATCTTTGGGTTTGAGCTCGAGCCACAGTTCAACGAGCCCTACCTGACCACCTCTTTACAAAATTTCTGGGGTCATAGATGGAACCTCATGGTTACTAGTATTCTACGCCCTACCGTATACTACCCCGTACGACGTATTTCAGCTCCTCTACTCGGATCGGAGTGGGTTTCCTTGCCGGCGATCGTTTCCGTGTTCGTAGTCTCCGGGTTTATGCATGAGTTGATTTATTATTACTTGACTCGAGTGGCTCCTACTTGGGAGGTGACATGGTTTTTCATCTTGCACGGTGTTGCGGTGGCGGTGGAAGTGGCGGTGAAGAAGGTGGTGTCCGACAAACGGAGGTTGCACCCGGCGGTTTCCGGGACATTGGCTTTGGGATTTGTGTCGGTCACCGCTTCTTGGTTGTTTTTCCCGCAGATATTGAGGAACGGTGTAGATGAGAGAATCATCGGAGATTACTCCAAGTTGTTGGATATTTTTAAGGGTTTGCCCCTATCATGATTACCATTAATTTGATTATCGTTGTAATGAATAAAATCAAGGGCAAACTACAAGTCTATTACCTCAATTATTACTTTTATTTTATTTTAATCATTAATTATTTTTTATTAACTAACAAAAAATATATTTATTTTATTAACATATAACGAATATAAAATAATATTTATTCAAAGACTTTTAATTATTTGACTTTAAATACTCATATTTCTAACATACATAAATTTAAATTTAAAATCTCAAAAAATAATAATAATTCTTTAACCATCAAAATTGTTTGGTTCGTATATATATTTATTATTATTTTTATTTAACAAAAATGACAGTTTACAATGTTTAAGTTTGAATAATAAACTTAATTAATATTATATATAATTTCCTTGTTTAATTTAAATTCAAATAATATAATATAATGTATTGAAAACAGAAAACCTTTTTATTAAAGTGCAATTATTGCTTTTCTGTTGAGTGCCGTTCTATTTTTATTTATTAATTTAAAATAAATAAAATACAATATTTTATTTTAAAATAAATTTTAATTATTTAATATTAAACATTTACATTTTTAATATTCACGTTGCGTATTTACTTAATTATTTAATGAATAAAGATGATATAATGAAAACAAATTCAATAGTTATTAATATCATACATGAAAACAATATCAATATCTTTATCGATTAATCTTTTAATTGATGTGAATTATTTATAATTTTGGATAAAGTATACAAATGGTCTCCTGATTATAAGGTATTATTTTGTTGAGTCCATCGACTATTAAAAATTACAAAATAGTCTCCTAACTATAGGACATTACTTTATTGAGTCCCTCGATTATTAAAAATTACAAAATAGTCACCTGACTATTCATATTAATAGTTTGATGACCATTTTGCAACTTATAATAGTCGAGAAACTCAAAAAGCAACACCCTATACTCAAGAGATCATTTTGCAACTTTTATTAGTCCAATAACTCAACAAAACAATACCCTATAGTGGGAGGACCATTTGTGTACTTTACCCTGTAATTTTTTTAAGGCTAACATCTTAGATTAGAAGCTAATTATTTCTTGTTAATATAAAAACTTCAATTTTCAAAATGATTAAAATTATTTTTTCAAATAAAATCAAAGAAAATATTATGCTATGTATGTGGGATTAGTTCCGTCAATTGTCCTTCAATTATAATTAAAATTTTAAATTGATTTTTAATTTTAAAATTTATAAATTAACATAAATTTGGTAAAAAATTATACAAACTAGTATTATTTTTAAAATTAAAATAGGACATGAAAAATCTATATAAAAATAAATTTTATTTTATAAAATATTTATTAAATATTCATTAAAAATTATAAACACACTCTAGACAAACATAATTAAAAAAACTCAAATTCTTCTTTGTTTTTAAATTAGTTTGCTTCCGACGTGACGTGCAGTTTAATCACAGGTATATATATTTTTATTTGTATCCTTGTTAGAATACTCCTATTTATATTTGTATTAGTTAGTAATTTAAGGTGTTTCATGACGACAATAAATATATAAATAAAAAAAACATAAAAAAAACATAAAACTAATAAGAAATTTCGGAAATATATTTAGAGAATAGAAGGACCATTTATAATTAATACTATTTAAAAGTAGAATTTTCATTAATGAGAAAATAAACTTATTTTGTTTTTAGAAAATATGTATATTTAATACGATATATATATATATATATGAACCGAATCAAGTAAGAGTGACAATATGAGTCATATTAAAGATTATTTTTATATTTATTTTTTAATACTTGATGGTTACAATGTAGTATTTACTCAAAATATTTGTTAGTTATTGATAAAACATACACTCTACTAATGTAGCTGTTCGATTTGAAGATCTCTAAAATAATAACATTCTTTTTAACCATTGAAATTGTTTAATGAGTTAAAAGAAATTATATTTAAACATTTCCAATTTTTTTTATTATTATTGAAGCATTTCAAAAGTTGTATTTAAAGTATATCATATATATACATAATAAATATAATTTATTCGATTCGCTTTCTTGTTGAATTTGATTTATCTGTCCCCCGCCCCCCTCTCTGTCTCGCACACAATGCATGTTGCATAGCATGCGGATGCCATATAGCTTTGCATAAGCGCAATCGGTGGCACGCTAAAGAACATGAAACGTAAGTAGTGCATGAACTATGGACGATAAACCATATGATGTGCATATGGTTTATGACTCTCCTTCAGATGCTTAGGTTTGATATTAGGGATAAATTTTTAAATTTTTAAAAGTAGATAAATTTATAAAATTTATTGGAGATGAAAATAAAGTTTTAATTAAAAATTTAAAAAAATTAAAATATATACTATTTTTATATTTTTATGGGCTGCCCCCACCTGCTCTCTATCCATCCTTGCTCTTCTTGGATGAATGAGTAAGTTTACATAGTTCAAGGGTTATGTTATTGGAATGATTGATCTAATTTAAATGAGTTGTATAATTATTTCTAAGGGTAAACTATATGCTTAGTACCTAAATTATTAATTTTATTTCATTTTAATACCTAAATTTTTATTTATTTCAAAACCATATTTAACATTTACTTTTAATTTCATTTTAATACCTCGTCGTAAAAAATTTAACGCTGACAATTTTATGGGTGAATTACATCATTCATCACTTAACTATCTTCTCACTCATATTTTGGTCACTAAAGTTTAAATTTTTTCAATTTAACTACTAAACTTTCAAATTGCTCATGTTTTTATCACTCTAATTTATTTTATTAATAATTTTGTGACATGATATTTTCTATTGTTATCTTATTAATAAACAATTAAAATAAAAAATAAATTTGAAAGTTAGAGTGATTAAATTAGGAGTTATTTAAAAATTAAATACTTAAATTTAAAAAATTAAACTTCAGTGACCAAAATATGAGTGATAAAATAGTGAAGTGATGAATGATGTGATTTACCCATAAAAAAGTATCATGTTGTAACAGTTCCGTTTAGCTTTTAACGTCAGAGTAAAAAAACAAAAAGTAAACTTCATGTATGATTTTAAAACAAATGAAAGTTTAGATACAAAAACAAATATTTATGTACTAAACATGTAGTTTACCCTTTTTTTAATTTACGTCGATTTTTTAACCTGCAAAGTTATTAAATACTAGGGTAAATTACTTAAATGACTTCTTAACTATAGGGTTAGTTCGATATGACCACTATTCTTTCAATTTTGGCAATATGACCACAAAATTATTTAAGTGGTTTCAATGTAGCCATATGTCGTTACAAAAAAATGACGTAGTTGGTGTGGACCTTTGACCCACAGTTATTCAATAACAATCACATCAACTACATCGTTTGTTTTGTAACAGTAGATGATTACATTGAAATCACTTAAAGAATTATGTGATCATATTACCCAAATTGAATGTATAATGGTCATATCGACATTCACTTCATAACTAAGTGGTCATTTGAGTAGTTTACCCTAAATATGAAGACGGTTTCTCAACATTATTTAACTGACAAATATTTTCTCGATTATTTCAACCAGATTAAGAAGGATAGAAAATATCTACATTTTATGATCAACTCTAATATGTTTCGTGGTGATTTTATAGGAATCACATTTATTTAAAAATAATTATAAAAACAGTTACAAAAATATAAAAAAATATATATAGAATACTCATTTCAATGACGTAAAACAAAAATGTATTTAGTTGAAGTGTTTTATATACTCTTAGCTAAACACGAGACAACATTTCAGTGTACTTGATCTTTATTAGATGAAAAAGGAAAGGTGCGGATTGTAAATTCAAAAATGTATTTTTTGATTCGTATATTTAAATAAAAAAAATTATTAATTTGAAGAAGATATTTTATGTAGGACGCGTCTTCTTTCTCACGACGTCTTTGTTAATAGACAGATAAGAGAAGAATCCATGAGAGATGGGCAGGAGTTATACAGGCCCATGAGTATTGTTGAAGATTAGCCCAACAGATAAGAGTCCAATACACCTACTCAACACAAGAAGAAGACAGCAATGCTCAGCGTTTAAGGTTTAGAGATCAGCATACAATTGTTATCAGTAAATTATTTATACGTTATCAATAATTAAAAAAAATTATAAATAGATTATATCTATAATTATTATAAAATTATTAAAAAGAAAAAAAAGCGAGCTAAAATCAACCTTCAGATTTTGCACTAATTTAATTGGCTACTCACGGAATCCAACGTCCTTTTATTTTTTATTCTTTTAATCTCCTCTTCTTTTTCTATCCTTTCTTTACTTATATCTAAAACAGTAAATTTTACAGCTGAAAGTTTTACAGTTAATTGATTATTTTAATCTGATTTTAATTAAAAAAGAAGAAAATATACACAAATTGATCAATACTTGGCAATTTGTCAAATCTTATTCAGTAAATCTCCAGCGAATCTTCTTGGCAAAGCCAGTTTGTTTTTTTTAAAATTATTTTAAAAGGTCTATTTGACGCAGAGAAATCCAGAAGAATCTGATTCCGATGTTGATTCAAATAATAATTAAGTAAAATTTATTAAATAAAATCAATTAGATGGTATATATATAAATTTAACTTTGAAATTTAATTTGATATTAAATTTATTTTTCTTCAATTAAACGTTTATATTTAATTTAATAATTTTTTAAACTCGAGTTCAGTGCATGAATTTGACTTAATTTTTTTTAAATTAGTACTTATAATAAATAATTTAAGTTGTAAAGTCAAATTTAGATATCTATTTAAACTAAAAAATAAATTTAAATATATAATTTTTTAAAAAAGAAAGTAGGACACTTGGACAACAAACTGAATTCAAATAGGCGTTAAAAAAAAGGTAGTTACACATTTAATATTATAATTATCATTTTTGTTTCATTTTAATCGTTTAACTATTTTTTGTTTTAAAATAATATATAATATTACGTTTTGGTTTCATTTGGTTATTCATTGTTAAAATACTAATAATGTTGCTGAAGTGATACCATTATGTAATGTCGCATCATTGTTATTTTTTTAAATA